ATCCTCCACCACCCCCGCCCCCGTCAAAAGAATCTTGTTGGTTTCTAAGGTGCAACTGGACTCAGATCTAGCTGTGTCTCTTTTGTTGTTGTTCAGTCGCACAGTCGAGTCCAACTCTTTGCGACCCCATGGACCAGATCATGCCAGGCCTTCCGGTCTTCCGCCGTCCTCTGAAGTTGGCTCAACTTCATGTTCGTTGCATCGATGACACTGTCTAACCATCTCATCCTTTGCCGTCCCCGTCTTCTTTGACCTTCAATCTTTCCCAGCATCAGGGTCTTCTTCTCCAGTGAGTGCTCCCTTCTCATTGGGTGGCCAAAGTCTTTGAGCTTCAGTTTCATTATCTGGCCTTCCAGGGAACAGTCAGGGTTGATTTCTTTTAGGATTGACTGATTTGATCTTCTTGCAGTCCAAGGGACTCTCAAGAGTCTTCTCCAGCACCATAGTTCAAAAGAATCTATTCTTTGGCGCTCGGCCTTCTTTATAGTCCAACTCTCGCAGCCATACATGACTACTGGGAATACCATTGCTTTGACCATGCGGACTTTAGTTGGCAGGGTGATGTCTCTACTGTTTATCATGCTGTTTAGGGTTTTATCATGTGTCTCTGGGCCAATGTTCCCTCTAAGCTGTGGAGTCTTGTGAGCAAAAATTCTACTTTGTGAGCTACTGGTAGTAAAGTTGTGAGCAAGAGATTTGGCTACTCTATAAATTAGTTTGCTCTGGAGCCATCCTCTGTGAGCTCAGACAAAAATGTGTGAGCCAGAGACTAAGAAGCTGTGAGCTAGCTCACACTAACTCAGCTTAGAGTGAACACTGCTCTGGGCAGGTACAAAATGCATTTTAAGCAGTGCCAAGCCTCAAACAGTTCGGAGCAGGGAAAAGATAAAGAGGGAAGAATCAACAGATCCGCTAACCCGATCTCACCAGATCTCGGAAGCTAAGCGGGGTCGGCCCTGGCTAGTATACAGATGGGAGACCTCCCGGGAATACCAGGGTCATGACACAGAGGCAGGCCATGGCGAAACACCTCTGACCGCCTCGTGCCTCGAAAACCCCACAACGGGTGCCAGAAGGGGCCGGCTGGTGCGATTTAAGGGTCAAAGGGGGACCAGGCGAAGACCGGGATGGCCCACAGAGATGGCTGACATGACGTAGCAGACCAGCCCGCCACAAAAGGCTCGGGTGACGCTTTTCATTGGGTGGGAAAGCTCAGGGGTACCCTTGGAGCCACCCTTGTTGTTAGAGGAACAGGCTGCTGCCGCCTTTCCCACAGCCTTAAAAAAGGTAAAGGTTCCCTTGCTCGAAAGCCAGTCGAGTCCGACTCTAGGGTTGCGGTGCTCATCTCCATTTCCAAGCTGAAGAGCCAGCGCTGTCCAAAGACGTTTCCGTGGTCATGTGGCCGGCATGACTAGACACCAAGGCGCACGGAACGCTGTTACCTTCCCACCGAAGTGGTCCCTATTTATCTACTTGCAATGTCTTGCTTTCGAACTGCTAGGTTGGCAGGAGCTGGAACTAGAGACGGGAGCTCACTCCGTCATGCGGCACACTCGGGTCTCGAACTACTGAACTACTGACCTTCCACAGCCTGCAGTTCAGCATCTTAACCACTTGAGCCGCCGCAGCTCCCACAGCCTTAGAATCATAGAATTCTAGAGTTGGAATAGGCCATAGAGGCTGTCTAGTCCCACCCCCTGCTCAATGCTGGATCAGCCTAGAGCATCCCTGACAAGGGTTTGTCCAGCTGCTGCTTGGAGACTGCCAGGGAGGGGGAGCTCACCACCTCCCCAGGCAGCCGATTCCACCACTGAACTACTCTTACTGTAAAAAAAAAAATCCCTAATATCCAGCCGATACCTTTCTGCTTTCCCTTCATCTGTATCTGGCCCGTAGGTTGTCCTTTCTTCTAGACTCAGTTGACCTGCCCGCGCTGATCTACAGTCCGTTTAATATCCAAGCTGGGCTACTGCAATGTGCTCCCTTTGGGGCTGCCCCTGGACATCTTGGAAGCTCCGGTCGGTGCAAAGATGCCGGCTTGCCTTTCCGCCAGTGTTAGGTTGGCAGGAGCTGGAACTAGAGACGGGAGCTCACTCCGTCATGCGGCACACTCGGGTCTCGAACTACTGAACTACTGACCTTCCACAGCCTGCAGTTCAGCGTCTTAACCACTTGAGCCGCCGCAGCTCCCACAGCCTTAGAATCATAGAATTCTAGAGTTGGAATAGGCCATAGAGGCTGTCTAGTCCCACCCCCTGCTCAATGCTGGATCAGCCTAGAGCATCCCTGACAAGGGTTTGTCCAGCTGCTGCTTGGAGACTGCCAGGGAGGGGGAGCTCACCATCTCCCCAGGCAGCCGATTCCACCACTGAACTACTCTTACTGTAAAAACAAAAATTCCCTAATATCCAGCCAATACCTTTCCGCTTTCCCTTCATCTGTATCTGGCCCGTAGGCTGTCCTTTCTTCTAGACTCAGTTGACCTGCCCGCGCTGATCTACAGCCCTTTTAATATCCAAGCTGGGCTACTGCAATGTGCTCCCTTTGGGGCTGCCCCTGGACATCTTGGAAGCTCCGGTCGGTGCAAAGATGCCGGCTTGCCTTTCCGCCAGTGTTAGATGGTGCACGCGTATTCGGCAAGTTTTAATGTTCGTTTGCAGGCTGCAGGTTTGCTTCCGGGTTCAGCTGAAGGGGCTGGCGGTTCTTCGTCCCTGTCAGAGAGGGGCCGTGGCTCAGTGGTAGAGCATCTGCTTTGCCCGCAGAAGGTCCCGGGTTCAATTCCTGACATTTCCAGCTAGAAGGGTCAGGTGGTGTGAAAGTCACTGCCAGTCTGAGTAGACAAAGCTGAGCTTGGTGGACCAAGGATTTGGTCCTGTATAAAGCCGCTTCCTGTGTTATTTAGGATGCTACCTGAAGGACCACCTGTCCCCCATATAACCCCACAGGTGTGCTCAGGGGTGTCTTACAGGCCCTGCCTTCTATTTACTATGGTCTACATAGGGACTGAGGGGCTGTGGTGGCTCAGAGGTTAAGACACTGAGCTGCAGACTGGAAGGTCGGTAGCTCGGCAGTTCGAGACCTGAGTGCCGCGTGATGGTGTGAACTCCCGTCTCCGGCCCCAGCTCCTGCCAACCTAGCAGTTCAAAAGCAAGAAACTGCAAGTAGATGAATAGGTGCTGCATCGGTGGGAAGGGAACTGTGTTCCCTACA